ATCAACTAAATAAAGTTACCTCCTATCATAAAAAAGAGCCCTAATAAAGAATTCAAGTCTGTTTTCTAGATCAATACCCAAGTCCTCTAAAGTCAGATACACCACCAACTGGAATATGACAAAAACCCCATATTAAATTTTGAATCCCTATCCAATCTAATGGCTAAAGATTACAAATGGGTTTATACCATATCATGTCTAAAAAGGTAATAAATAGCCCAAACTTCCAATTGTTACCTTAAAGAAATTGACAAAAATAATAAAAAGTGAATTTTCTTTGAGTATAAACTAAAGATACATTTTCAATGTAGTTCTTCCTTTGTCTAACACCCTTAATATTCTTTTTTTGTATGTTTGGGTTTTTGGGGTTTTTTGCCCTTAATATTCTGAAGAAAATTTGATTAAATTTACAGCTTCTAGATATAAGTAAATATTCAATTTTCTATACCTTCAAAAGATAAGTTAAAATCCGACAAATAATTACCTAAGAGAAGAAAGTACTTAAACTGAGAAAGAAAATATGGCATTTGAGTTTTCCAGACTATTACCTAAGAGTTTTCCTACCTGGAAAGAAAAGTTAACTTGTACATAGCCCTCCTAAAGAATCTCTGTTTCAGTAACATGCTATTGAAAAAGAGGAGAAATATACTTAGTGTTTCTCAGAGTTTAATAGTCAGAAATTAAACCTCAGAATATCAATTAACATATCACTCCATGGAACTGGTTTCCTGGTAGCTGACAATTTCATACTACCAAGCCCATGCTGAATCCTACTAAACTCAAGCCCCTTTCAAGCTTTCTTAGACCCTCTCTCCCAAAGCTGTATTTTGAAAAGGAAGTAGGAAGTAGCTTCTAAAATATTTTTAAAAATAAAAGAAGGCAGAGGCTCAGTGCAGAGCAGCACTGAAGAGGTTGGTCACAGCAAATTCCCTACAGGCCCCTCTCAGCAGTAATACAGTCAGCAACGTGGATTTGTCAAAGTCCCACTAACTAACCAGTGAGCTCCTGGAGTTGGCTCAGCCCATATCCCTACCCAAGATACAAAATCGATCACTACAGTATTTAACTAATACTAATGGATAATGTTTACACAGCACACACTATATGGTGAGCTTCATTTTAAATCATTACATATATTCATATGTATGAATCCTCATAACAACTCTATGAGGAGTTGTTATGATCCTCATAAAAGCTCTATGAGGTAAGGCTACTATCAAACACATTCTGTATTTGAGTATACTAAGACACTAACAGGTTAAGCAACTTGCTCAAACTAACACGCTAGTAGGTAGCAGAGGAAGGATTTTAACCTAGGCAATCTGGCTCTAAACCCATGCTCTTAGCCAGCATATATCGGTGTAGAGCATCCTTCCTGATTTGACCTTTGTAATCCTTGTTCCCCCCCATGAACCCATAGGCATCTTCTGGTACCAAACCTTCTGCCCCAGCTTACCCTTTTCATTTTGTCTAATGTACACTTGAAAACCCATCTGTTGACAATGTGTTATGACAAGGATGATCATACCTTTTTATTAAGGATATTCAAAGTTTATGCCTGTTGTACTGCATAGTAATTAATAGCACATGTTTCACGCCCCCCCCCACATTAAGTCTCCAAAGTGGCCCAGGGTGATGATAAATTATATTATCATTCTCATCATGACTGACTTGAAAACTCTACTAAGATTCTTTATCTGGAAACCACCATCAGGCTGAATGCTTTATAACAGGTTGCAACCACCACCCACTGCCAGGGCCCTGCAATATTGCCAGAAGTGCCCTTGAGAATGGGCAAGGCATAGATGGTTATTCCTTTTGTCTGAAGAAATGAGATCATAAGTCAGAAGAGGACAGTGTGAGATATAGTAAGTTTTTCAATCTAACCCTTACACCTAAAAAGCTAAAATTGAATCAAATGGATTGAGTCTACACACGCGTACACCCACAAACACACACACACGAAGGAATAACAGGATGGAACATTCAAAGCCTTAGACCCCCACAAAAACCTATTTGAACTAATAAACAACTTTAGCAAGGTTGAAGGACACAAGATCAATACACAAAGATCAGTCGTATTTTGATACACTAGCAATGAACAATCTAAAATCAAGAAACAACTCCATTTACAAAGGACTAAAATATTTAGGAATAAATTTAACCAAGGAAGTATAAAACTTCTACAATAAAAACTTCAAAATATCATTGGAAAAAAAGTCAAAGAAATGTAAAGACATTTATTTAGTATTCACGGATTGGAAGACTTAATTTTGTTAAGATGGCAATACTCCCCAAATTGAGCTACAGATTCAATTTAATTCCTCTATCAAAATTCTACCTGACTTTTTTGCAGAAATCGAAAGCTTATCTTAAAATTCATATGGAGTTGGAGGAGACCCAGAATAGGCAAAATAAGTTTTTCTTTTTAAAAGAGAACAAATTTGGAGGACTTACACTTCCCAGTTTCAAAATTTACTACAAAGTTACAGGTTATAGTAATCAGTAAGTGTGGTACTCACTTAAAGACAGACAAAGATGGAATAGAATTGAGTCCAGAAAAAACATTTACACTTATGATTGATTTTTGACAACGGTGCTAAGACAATTCCATAGAGAAAGAATAGGCTATTTAACAAATGGCACTGGGATAACCAGGAATCCATATAGTACACAAGAATGAACTTAAACCCCTTCATCACACCAGAAACAAAAAAATTCACTCAAATGGATTACAGAATTAACTCTAAGATCTAAAATTGTAAAACTCACAGGCAAAAATGAGGATAAATTATTACCTTCGATTTGTTAGTGGTTTCTTAGTATGATACCCAAAATCACAAGCAACAAATCAAGTTGGGAAGAATTGACATCCGAACAACACTGAATCTTCCAAAATGTGAACTTATTATCTCTCTCCATTTATTTAAAACGTCTTTGATTTTTTTAATCAATGTTTTGTAATGTTTAATGTGTAGATAGTATACCTATTTTCTTAGAGTTATATCTAAGTGGGGGTTCTTTGGTGCTGTTGGAAATGGTACTTTTAAATTTCAAATTCCAATTTTTCATTCCTGGTATGTAAAGAAGCAATTGATTTTGTATATTGACTTTGGGTCCTTTAGTCTTGCTACACTTTCAAGTTCATGAGGTTTTTTTTAATAGATTATTTGGGATTTTCTACATAAACCATCTGTTATCTGCAAATAAAGAGTTTTATTTCTTGTTTCCAATCTGTGTATCTTGTATTCTTTTCTTTCTCTTATTGCAGTAACTATGACTTTCAGAACGATGTTGAATGGGAGTGGTGAGAGAGGAAATCCTTGTGTTGTTTTCAGTCTTAGGAGGAAAGCATCCAGTGCTTCACCGTTCATCATGGTGTATTATTTCTAATGTGTTGTTAGATTTTGTTAGTATTTTATTGAGAATTGTTGCATTGGTATTAATTTTTTGAACACTTTTTGTCAGTTTAGGAACAGTGTTATACTTGTCTCAAGGATAATTTAAAAGTTTTCTTTTTCCAATTTACTGAAATAATTTAATAGAATTGCATCTAGTTTTTGATGTTTTCTTGAATTCCCCCATGAAACCATCTTAGTGTAAAACTTTTTGTGGGATAGTTTATGACTTTCTTTATTCCATAAACATTTGGTCTGTTTAAACCGGCAATCTCAATTGAAGTCAATTTTGGAGATTGTATTTTCCTAGTAAATTGTACTATTTATATAAAATCTCAAATATACTTTGAAAGAGTGTTTGAAATTTCCTCTTTTTCAGAGATGTTTCCCCTTATACTTTATTTTGCATATTTCTGTTCCCTCCCCACCCCACCCTTTATTTTTATTAGTTAGGGCTTTGCCATATTATTGAATTTTTCTTGAAGAGACAGCATTTTATTTAATATATTTGTTTTCTCAGTGTGTCTTTATACTTATTCTGTTCTTTACATTTCTTTTGTTTTCAAGCTGTTTGAGTTAGGAATATACCTTATGTATGTCATTCTTTCATTTTTATTGACAAAATAAGTTAGAATAATATTCCTCTGATCACTGCTTTAAGCTGTAACCAATAGATTCTAAAATATGGTTTTCTTTACGGCTTTCATTTAGAAATTCTGAAAATTCACCTTTTATTTCCTTTTATTTACATTTAATAGAGAACTTTAAAATTTTCAAGTTAAAGGACTGTGTTCTGGTTTTGTTATTAACTTCTAGTTATTGGAGTATGATATGAAAACGCTCTTTATAATTTTCCTGTTATACAGAATTTACTGTGGTCAATTTTTATAAATCCTTCATGTTCTCATAAGACATTTGATGCACATCTATATAATATTTACCTTATTGGTGATCTTGTTCTTACCTTCTATATATTTACCCATTTTTATCTACTTGAACTATGTTAAACCAAGACTATTATCTTAAAGTCTACTTACTATTGCTTTATTCTAGTCTATTTTTTTTTTTTTTTTGCATTATGAAGTTTTTGCTGTCTGTTTGGTGCAAAGATATCCATACACTTTGATCATCAGTGTGATTTTTAGCCCTTACTTTATACAGTTTCCTTCTCTTTCTCATTTGTTACTTTCGGCCTGATTTCTCTTTTGTCTGATATCAATATCATTACCCCTGCTTCCTTATTGTTTGCATTTACCTGCGACACCCTTGCCCATTACTTAATTTTTAGCCACCCTGTATCACTTTATTTTAGTGTTTAACTGAGTTTTATGAGTCAATATAAAAATCCTTCTCTTTTAGGGAATGCTCCTACACTGTTGGTGGGAATGTAAATTAGTGCAGTCACTATGGAGATTTCTTAAAAAACTAAAAATAGAACTACCATATGATCCAGCAATCCCACTCCTGGGCACATATCCAGAGAAAACCATACTTCGAAAAGATTCATACACCCCAATATGCACCCCAATGTTCACTACAGCAATATTTATAATAGCCAAGACATGGAAACAACCTAAATGTCCAACAGCAGATGAATGCATAAAAAAGATGTGGTATATGTAATATATATGTATTATATGCATACACAGACACACACACACACACAATGGAATACTACTCAGCCATAAAAAAGAATCAAATAATGCCATTTGCAGCTACATGGATGAACCTAGAGATTATCATACTAAGTGAAGTAAGTCAGACAGAGAAAGCCAAATATCATGATATTACTTACATGTGGAATCTAAAAAATGATACAAATGAATTTATTTACAAAACAGAAACAGACTCACAGACTTAGAAAACAAACTTACGGTTATCCAAGGGGAATGTTGGTGGGGGGAGGAGGAATAAACTAGGAGGATGGGATTAACATATACACACTGCTACATATAAAATAAAGAAAAAAGAACCTACTGTGTACCACAGGGAACTCTACTCATGCGAAAAGAATCTGAAAAGGAATAGATACATGTATGTGTCTAACTAAATCACTTTGCTGTATACCTGAGACTAACACACATTGTAAATCAACTATACTCCAATATAAAATAAAAATTTTAAAAAATTCTTCTCTTTTAATAAGTGAGTTAAACCCATTTATATTTGATATAATTCATTTGTTTGGCCTATTTTATGCTGTATTTACTGTGTGCACTTTGTTATATTTACTGTTTTTAATTTACTATTTTTTTTCTTCTGCGTTTTATTGTTCTTTCTCATTTAGTAAAGTTTGTATTACTGCGCTAGTAGTTATCTTTATCCTTGTACATTTTATAATGCCTAAGGTCCTCTCTTTTCCTAATTAGGCATCTAATGCTAGGGTTAACTAACTTTAGGTAATATCCTTTTACTACTATTTACTATGTAGTAATCAATAAGTCCATTATACATTTCCCTTTATCCTTTTATTTACCTCAAAAATTTTCCTTGTATGTTTCTACTCATTACAGCTATAGCACTGACATACTGGCTTTAATACTTGCCCTCACCTTAGTTTTATCTTTAGATCTCCACTTAAATAAGCTGAATGATTACCACCAGTCCTTTTTGCTCAAGTTCCCAGGCCATGTCCTAGTTAAATGAAGCTCTTTGTCTCTAGATGCCTCAAAAAGGGCTCAGGGAGTAGAGTATTCCCTGATTTTTTACATGGTTATAACATTTTATATAGCCTTGATACATTAAGGACACCATGACTGGACGTAATCACTGACTCAATCTTTTAAGTCATTAAAAATATTTCACCAGTGTTAACCTGCAAGAACTGTGAAGGGTTTGAGATTTTACCTACTAGGAAATGAATAAGCTAGACAGCTACCATTCATGGCTGCTTAAAGAAGACATAAGACTCCTGGGCCAGAGACAAAGGACTTTTATTACTCATGGCACAGCAAGAAACATAAGCATCAGCATATCTGTACCACTTCCTTTTGTCCCAAGTCCTAAAGGGATGATGCAGAAAGGCCCCGAGAAATGCCTGAATACAGAGTGGATTGCGTATTATATTATATTGTATTATACTGTACATTGTATTATATTGTGTGTTGTATTATAGGAGAGAAATCTTGAGCTTGGGGAACCTGTATCTTCTACAATGGATGGTAAGTATGCCTGCCCTTTGCTCCAGAGGGAGATACTCTATCTTCCAAGGCTGTTCACTATAAAAAATCCTGGAGAACATAGTCTTGAAAAACGACAGGCAGTGCCTCTGCTTTCAAGACATGCAGACACAGAAGAGATCCACAGAGGATTATCTCCCAATATTACATTGATTTGTATATTGTCAATCAAATTTTGTTGGTATACAGAATCCTCAGAGATTTTACTGATATCATGTTTCCTACTGAGTCATGGGTATAAGGCTATGATTCTGTAACAGTTTAAATAAGCTATTTTGGAAAAAGCTCATATGAGTGACAAACCTCTTTCCCACTTTAACTGTTAAAGACATTTTTTCTTGGTTTCCCTTCTCTCTTGACCCTGCACAACACGGGGTTGTGTATGTCATGACAAACAGTAGGAGTGTCATTATGAGAGTTAAAAGGGTCACCTAGAATCTGAATCTTAGCTTCCTCTTCTAAGCATTCACTGAATGGCAAGGACATACCTCAGAACAATTAATTCAGAAACTCGGGGTCTGGGATCCAGAGAGCAGGATATTTTAAAGCTCCCTAGGGATTCCAAAGTTCAACCAAGTGGAGACTGAGCCCTGGTTTCAACCCACAGATAAAAACTTAACTACCTATGAATAAAACTTCAGGCTTGTAGGAGTTAGTATTTATTTTAGAAGAGTTTTTAGGCCCTTTTTCTTCCTCCTCTGTAAAGTACAGACATTGAATACTTGTCTCCAAATGTGTAACAAGAACTTGAGAACACAAGAATAATTATTTTCTTACTTAATATACTTTAAGATAGTACAGGCAAATTCTTTAGTAGTTTAGCTAATAAGAGATATAACAGTAATTAAATTTTCAAACCAAAGTTTTCAAGTGGGTGCAAACAGAGACGTTTTAAACTTCAAAATGAATACGATTTGCCCTGGAAGTCAGAGCTATTGCAAAGCACTTAAAATTATTTTAGAAAGCTAGTCTATCCAATCACTGGAATGGCTAAACATTCCTCACCCTGTAATCTGGAAAAAAGTGTGTACTTAAAGATATGGAATTCACAGTCTTTAGCTTTTAGCTTTAGGTGAAGTGTTACATTGTTCCCTTTTTTAACGTGTTCCTTACAGGATGCTGGCCAACTCACTTTGGCAGAGATACATGCAGCTAAAATTGCTTCCCTCTTGCTAATACTATATATTCAGCATTTTCCTGATAGGCATACTCTTGGATGAAACCTCAGACATACACTGAATTACTCTGTGAATAAAATATTTAGTCTCCTCAGAGCCCTCAAACACAACCTTGACTTACCAAGTTCAAAACTGCTGACTCTCCACAGTTTATGCCAGTGGGCTTTCCCATACAACCTTACCATTTAATGGTACGTAAAGCACGTAGCTAACCCTAGAAGACAATAATACACTGCCATGCAATGTATAAAGTGTCTGTTAGGAAGGATAAGTGAAAATGCTGTAAAACACACGGAGGAAGTATATCCAGACAATCAAATTCCACTGTAAGGATATCAGCAAAGACTTAGAATGCTTACAAAATAAAACGCGTTGAGTCCCATGTGAGGACTGGGTATATTTAAGACCTGTACCAAGGCTGTCAAATTTAGATGATGGCAAGTATAAGAGTTACCTTGAATTACATTTATATGCCATTTTCCCAGAAGAATTCAAAACATTTTAAACATCATCAAAGTCTGTAAAAACTGAAATGGTCCATTGTTACTAACTTCATGTTTTAGAGAAATTATTGGAGATTAACTGATAGTCTGAATGGACTACTACCTGGATCCAGTCAAGCATTATACACATTGATGCCAGATGATTCAGCAAAGGCAGCCAAAGTAAATGTATATTAAAAACAGGAATATATACAGTAGACATATTTGTTAGCAAAAACCTGCAAACTTATTACCAAATACCTAAAAAAATGTGGTTGAAAGAGTTAATATTTTGAAAAATTATTAGTTAAATAAATATCCTTTCTCTACGTCCTCTTATTTGCCGTTGGATTAAGGGAGGCCATCAGAGAGCTGCTCAAAGAAATGCTGTTACAGAGCAATATTTCACTTTATATCATTTTACTGGCAATCCAAATATTGTTGAAGACGGTATCTCCACCACATAGTGTTCATACTGGATCAAAATCCTCTCTAAAACCAATCATTTTCCTAATGGATTACACTTTTCATTTTAAAAACAACTGTCAATGGTAATTTTTCTTCTGCATCAACTACTGAGAGGTACAGAGTCTATGACCAATCTTTACCACATTTACACAGCTTCTCTGGCTCCATGTTAGAGCTACTAAGCTTTTTCTCATTTGTCTCGGTTTACCAGTCATTTTTTTCTAAAGTTAAAAATAATACAAAATCAATGTAAAACTTGGAAAGTGAAAAAAGGAAAATGCATAAAACTCATGTCTATGTTTTTAAATTTGAAGTCTAGAAAACTTACAAAGATATGTAGTTTCAAAAAAGCAGTGTAGGGCTTCCCTGATGGCGCAGTGGTTAAGAGTCCGCCTGTCGATGTAGGGGACACAGGTTCGTGCCCTGGTCTGGGAAGATCCCACATGCCACAGAGTGGCTGGGCCTGTGAGCCATGGCCGCTGAGCCTGCGCGTCCAGGGCCTGTGCTCCGCAACAGGAGGAGCCACAGTAGTGAGAGGCCCACATACCGCAAAAAAAAAAAAAAAAAATGCAGTGTATATTTTCATTTTGTGGATGCAAGTTCATTTCATTTCTATAAAGGTTTTTTTGGTTTGTTTGTTTGATTGGTTGGTTTGTTCTATAATTGCTTAAATAGTTGTCTATTCCATTATTTCTCTCCCCTTTGGGTTTTCACTTACACATCTACTGAATCTTGTTTGCCTCTATTCCAATCCTATCATTTTGTCTCTAGCCCCTTTTAACTCATTTTTATTTTCTTTTGTTTGTTTCTCATTCCTCTTACTATGTTTTCAATGTTATCTATTTTTCCTTGTGCTTATTCTGATTTGGTTTTAACTTCCCTGACATTCCAAATTTTTATTTCTCTTCTTACTTTAAGTCCATCGGTTCATCTCTCTTATCATTTCTTTACATCCTATAATCTCTGAACACTCATAGTTCTACATTGTGCTTTTATTTTATAGAGAAAAAAATAACTTCGTGTCACTGATCTAAAATACTGATTTTATCTTATAATAAATAAGAATATTTAGTATGGTTATACCCTTTATTTTTCCATTGATCACTATGTTGATTTTGGTGGAAGCTGTAGAATCACATACAAACTTTGAAAATAAATGTAAGGTAAGAAAATACCTTCAAGATTTTGTTTAGAATTTCATGAACTGTATAAGAATATATATAAAAATAACTGATGTCCATGCAACATTGAGTCATCTCATGTAAGATAGAATATTTTCTTGTCTACTTGTTTATTATCTGACCATCACACAACATTATCACTAGAAAGCAAGCTCCTTGAGGGCAATAAACAAATGCCTAGAATAATGCTTTCACATTATAAACACAATAAATATTTTATGAATGGATGAATAATTAATCATCAAATTTTGGTTTTAGAAATATCACATTTGCAATATTAGAACAGGAGGAAACACTAGTCAATGACACTAGCTGGCTGTTGAATTAATCAAAACAAGAGTAGATAATTTAAGATATTTTAAGGTAATAGCAGCAGGATTCAAAGAAGTTAACGATTTTAGGAGACATGTAGGATGCAGAGTCAATAAAATTTGTGAGTTGAGGCATTCTTTTTACAACTTTTAAGGCAGGCAGAAATCAGGAACCAAAAATTCCTTATCTCTCTACTCCCCAGAATACAAACCAAGGGCAACGGGTATTTAATTCCAGGTCTGATAACATGGGGCTCATCTTTAAAGAAACTGAACTAACTGCCTAGATAAAACTGGGTTAGACTGGTCCTCCGCATATAGAAACAAAGGTCTTTTTGGTCCCTTAGGGGTGTTCCAGATTAATAGCTGACTGTATTTTTACTCACCCAAAAAAGAAGCCTGGCAGTTGACCTGATAACCTACTTCCCACATGAAATAACAAATAAATGCCTTTATTCTAAAATACAAATCGACTGTGTATAATCACAGGATAAATGAAGAAAAACAGCATCATGAAAGAGACAGACCAGGATAAATAGAACAATTTTAAACTCACACTAGAGGAAACCAGAATAAATCAAGCAACAGAAAACCACTTTAAACACCTAAGAGTATATAGGATTATAGAGAAAAATAGTACTGACCTGGATAACAAAATTTCAGAACTTTCTCAGATCACTGAGCAAAAAGAGAAAATAAGTATGAGACACATTTTTATGAGATCAATCCAGGAGATCTCATAGGAGTGCTATTTTTAAAAGCAAGAGAGAGAGAGAGAGAGAGAGAGAGGTATAAATAATCAGGGAAAAAGAAGGGATTTTCTTAGAGGTGAAGAGCAGCATTAAGTTTTTGATTAAAAACTACTGAAGCTGATTGGCTTAAAAAACCAGACACTTAAAAATGCTGCCTCCAAGAGATTCAATTCATAGCTAAAGACAGACACACAAGCTTAAAGTAAAAGGATGGAAAAAGATACTTCATGCAAATGAAAACAACAAGAAAGTAGGGGTAGCATTACTCCTTTCAGACAAAGTAGACTTTAAAACAAAGGCTACGAGAAAAGCAAGGAAGGGCATGATATAATGATAAGGGGATCAATACAAGGATTTTACACTCATTAACATATTCGCACCCAATAAAGGAGCACCTAAGCATATAAAGCAAATGCTAACAGATATAAAAAGAGAAATTTACAAGAATACCATAATAGTTGGGGATTTTAACACCCCATTTATATCAGTGGACAGATAATCCAGACAGAAAATCATTAGGAAATAGTGGTCTTAAATGATACACCAGACCAGTTGGACTTAATAGATATTTACAGGACGTTACAGCCTAAAAACAGCAGAAAACATTCTTTTCAAGTGCACATGAAACATTCTCCAGGATAGATCACATGCTGGGCCACAAAATAAGTCTCACTAAATTTAAGAGGATAGAAATTGTATCAAACATTTTTTCCAACCACAATGATATGAAACTAGAAATCAATTTCAGAAAGAAAAATGGGAAAAGAACAAACATAGATACTGAACAGTATGCTACTAAAAATCAAATGGAACAATAAAGAAATCAAATATGAAATCAGAAAATACCTTGAGACAAATGAAGATGGAAAAACAATGCTCCAAAATCTATGAGATGCAGCAAAAGCAGTTGTAAGAGGGAAGTTTATAGTGATACAAGTCTTCCTCAACAAAAAACTCAAATAAACAACCTAACCTATCACCTAAAGAAATTAGAAAAAGAAGAACAAGGAAAGCTAAAGTCAGCAAAAGGAAGGAAATATTAAAGAACAGGAAATAACTAATATAGAGTTTAAAAAAAAAATAGAGAAGATCAATGAAATCCAGAACTGGTTTTTGAAAAGATAAACAAAATTGACAAACCTTTAGCCAGGCTCACTGAGAAGTAAACAGAGAGGACCTAAATAAACAAAGCAAGAAATGAAAGAGGAGCCATACCAACTAATACCACAGAGATACAAAAAATCATAAGAGAATACTACAAACAGTTATATAACAACAAATTGGACAACCTAGACAAAACAGACAAATTTCTAGAAACATACAAACTGCCCAAACTGAAGAAACAGACAATTTGAATAGACCAATCACTAGCAGAGAAACTGAATTTGTTAAAAAAATTTTTTTAGGGGCTTCCCTGGTGGCACAGTGGTTGACAGTCTGCCTGCTAATGCAGGGGGCACGGATTGGAGCCCTGGTCTGGGAGGATCCCACATGCCGCAGAGCAACTAGGCCCGTAGCCACAACTACTGAGCCTGTGTGTCTGGAGCCTGTGCTCTGCAGCAAGAGAGGCCGCGATAGTGAGAGGCCCGTGCACCGCGATGAAGAGTGGCCCCCACTTGCCACAACTAGAGAAAGGCCTCACACAGAAACGAAGACCCAACACAGCAAAAATAAATAAATAAATTAATTAATTAAAAAAAATTTTTTTAACACCCAGCAAACAAAATCCAAGACTGTTTGGCTTCACAGGGAAATTCTACCAAGCATATAAAGAAGAACTATCCTTTTCAAACTATTCCAAAAAATTAAATTTAATGGAACACTCCCAAATTCATTCTATGAGGCCACCATCACCCTGATACCAAAACCAGACAAAGACACTACCAAAAAAGAAAATTATAGGCAATATCTTTGATGACTATAGATACAAAAATCTTCAACAAATATTAGCAAACCAAATCCAACAATATATAAAAAAGGCTCATATACACAATGCTCAATTTGGATTTCTTTCAGGGACACAAGGATGGTCCAATCTCCCAAATCAATCAATGTGATAAACTACATTAACAAAAAGAAGGATAAAAATCACAGGATTACCTCAATAGATGCAGAAAAACCATCTGACAAAATTCAACACCTACTCATGATAAAACTCTCATCAAAGTGTGTATAGAGAGAACATATCTCAACATAATAAGGGCCATTTATGACAAACCCAGAGCTAATATCATCCTTAATGGTGAAAAGCTGAAAGCCTTTTTTCTAAATTCAGGAACAAGACAAGGGTGCCCACTCTCACTGCTTCTATTTAACATAGTATTGAAAGTCCTAGCCAAAGCAATCAGACATGAAAAAATAAAAATAAAGGGCATCCAAATTGGAAGGCAAGAAGTAAAACTGTCACTATTTTCAAATGATATGATACTTTATATAGAAAACTGTAAAGTCTCCACTGCAAAACTATTAGAATAAATGAACTCAGCAAAGTTTCAGGATACAAGATTAATATACAGAAATCTATTTCATTTCTTTACATTAATAATGAACTATCAGAAAGAGAAAGTACAAAAAAAATTCCATTTAGAATTGCATCAAAAAGAATAAAATACCTAAGAGTAAACTTAACCAACGAGGTGAAAGACCTATACTCTGAAAACTATAAAACACTGATAAAGGAAATTGAAGATGATACAAAAAAATGGAAAGATATTTCATTGCTTTTGGATTGAAAGGATTAATATTGTTAAAATGGCCATACTACCCAAAGCAATCTACAGATTTAATGTAATCCCTATCAAAATACCCAGGACATTTTTCACAGGGTGAGAACATAAATATGGAACTACAGAAGAACCCAAATTGTCAAAGCAATCTTGAGAAAAAAGAACAAAGCTGGAGTATACCCTGCTCAGACTTCAGACTATACTACAAAGCTATAGTTATTAAAATAGCATGGTCCTGGCACGAAAACAGACACACATCAATGAAACAGAATAGAGAGCCCAGAAATAAACCTATGCATCTACAGTCAATTAATCTATGACAAAGAAGGCAACCATATACAACGGAGAAAGAGTCTCTTCAAAAAGTGGTGCTGGGAAAACTGGACAGCTATATGTAAAAGAATGAGTTTAGAACATTTCCTTACACCATTTACAAAAATAAACTCAAAATGGATTGAAGACCTAAATATAAGGATGGTATTCATGAAACTCCTAGAAGTGAACATAGGGAGAACACTCTTTGATGCAAATTGTAGCAGTATTTTTTTGGATCTGTGTCCTAGGCAAAAGAAAGCAAAAATGAAAAAAAAAAAAAGGGATCTATTTAAACTTAAAAGCTTTTGCAAAGGAAACCACAGACAAAACAAAAAGAAAACATATGGAATGGGAGAAATAATTTACAAATTTTATAACCAATAAGTGGTTAATATCCGAAATATACAAACAGCTCATAAAGCTAAATATATAAAAAAAAAAAAAATCAAAAAGTGGGAAGAAGACCTGAATACACATTTTTCCAAAGAAGACACACAGATGGCTAACAGGCACATGAGAATATGCTCAAAACCACTAATTACTAAAGAAATGCAGATGAAAACAGTGAGATATCACCTCACACCAGTCAGAATGGCTAACATCAAAAAGTCTACCAATAACAAATGTAGGCAAGGCTGTGGAGAAAAGGGAACCATTGTTCATTGTTGGTGAGAATATAAACCAGTGCAATTCCACTCCCGGGAAAAAACAAAAACCCCAATCTGAAAAGATACATGCATCCCAATGTTTATAGCAGCACTATTTACAATAGCCAAGGTAGGGAAGCAACCCAAGTGTCTATCAACAGGCAAATAGATAATGATTTGGGCTATGTTTGTGTGTATATATGTGTGTACACACACACACACACACAGAGACACAGAGTGGAATATTACTTAGCCATGAAAAAGAATGAAATTCTGCTATTTGCAGCAAAGTGGATCAACCTAGAGAATACTATACTTAGTGCAGGAAGTCAGATAAAGACAGATACTGTATGATATCACTTATTTGTGGAATCTGAAAAATAATACAAATGAACATACACAGCAAAACAGAAATGGACTCACAGATATAAGAGACAAACTAGTGTTAACCAGTGGGGAGATGGGAATGGGAGGGGCACTTTAGGTGTATGGGATTAAGAGATACAAACAACTGTATACAAAATAGATAAGCAACAAGGATATATTGTATAACATGAGGAATTACAGCCATTACCTTGTGATAACTTTTAATGGAGTACAAACTGCAAAAATACTGAATCATTATACCTTACATCAGAAACTATTACTGTAAATCAACTATACTTCAATAAATGAAAGAACTCGGAAAAAAAATAAATAATAAAGGAAGTAAAAACTATTACCTAGTACTGAGTAGAATAAATGAAGAATGAATCCAACTAGAAACTTCATCATGAAATGTAAGGATAGTCAGGATAAGAAGATAGTAAAACTTCTGGAGAAAGGAAAGGGGACAGAGAGATGATTTACAAAGGATTCAAAATGAGAATAGTACAACCTTCTTTTCAACTTTATTGAACATTATAGGATGGTGAAATAGTATCAGAATTTTGAGGAAAAATTATTTTGGTCATATATATTCTATATCTAGGCAAACTATGAATCTAGTATAAAGAGAAAATGAACATATTTTCAGACATCAAAAGAATCAAAAAAGTTTACCTCTCAGGTGTTCTTTCTTGTATTATTCAAGTAAAGACATGAGATACCAGGGAAAAAAAAAGTGCAAATGTAATAGTACATTAAAAAAATATATCAGATTACAGTTGTACAGCCAATCTAAAAAGCAATTAGAATGGTAGAGGTCATTTCCAAGAAGAATGTCATCAAGAAAAATAGAATAAACAGAATCATTCCATCAAATGAAAATTTTGATTAACTATTTATTGCATAAAATATATGTTAGGATGCCACAAGTGCTACAACTCTTTTCGTAGCCTAACTGATCAAACCATAAAATGAAGTGTTTGAAATTCATCATCTTCTCATACTACTTTCTAAAACAAGACCAGAACATCTTCCTTCTACAAACCAGTCAGGTCCAGAAAATGTTTTCACATTCTGTATCTCTATCTATCCTGGTCCCCTGTTTCTAATACTATTTTCTATCTAGAAGAAGAACATGGTATATCCCAATTCCAGTTTCAATTTCAGTCCTCTACCGTACAGAGCTCAGAAGTCATACAGACACCACCATGGAATCTACTAGAGGTAGACAGTCTTGAGGTGGTACTTTGTTTCCCCAAATCTGGAGGGAACCAAGCTGCTTTAAGTTCGATGGCTAACCATCCCTTAGGACCTAATCTATGTGGTTCCAAACAGCTAATTCTACTCACATCTGCTTACCAGGCAACAGGATAAATGAAGAGACATCAAGTGAAGAAAGGACATAACCTTACTATTTTTTAAGTAATGTCCTAGAAACTACTAAAGAACACTTCTGCTTATACCTCATTAATAAACATTAAGTCACATGCTCACACCTAGATGTAAAGGAGGCTGGGAAATAGAGTCCTTTTTCTGGGCAGTTATGTACCTACCTAAAAATTGGGGTTCCTACTGCCTTAGAATAGAAAGAAAATGAATACTGCAGAACAAACTACCACTCTTGCCCCAGAATGGATTTGGGTTACATTTCTAAACCTTTAATTTGTTAAGGGAAATAAATAGGCTATGAGAATGGCAAAAAAAATAAAAAAGGAAATAAAAAGGAAAAAATATATATAACAATGAATTTCAAGAAGAGGGTCTTAAAAGGAACAATGTTCTATCCAATGGGATATATTCAGTACATGAATACACCATTCAGATAACAGAGCCATGGATGTTGAACATAATAAACTTAGAAGTTTGTAAAACGTCATAAACTGTGTTAGAATAAATTTGACACTAAAATTATAATTCAACACTTCCCTGAACCCTGTAAGAGTGACAGTAGAACTCAATAAGGCTGTATCGTTTTAAGAACCCAACACAGTTAATGTGGATAAGGACTACATGATATAGTCTTGTTGAGTCTGGAAAATGTTTGCCCACTACTTCCATCAGAAATCTAAGGTATACAAGGGAAAAAAGACAGTCTCTTCAATAAGTGGTGCTGGGAAAACTGGACAGCTACATGTAAAAGAATGAAATTAGAACCCTCCCTAAGACCATACACAAAAATAAACTCAAAATGGATTAAATGTAAGGCCAGACACTATAAAACTCTTGGAGGAAAACACAGGAAGAACACTTTTTGACATAAATTACAGCAAGATCTTTTTTGACCCACCTCCTAGAGTAATGGAAATAAAAACAAAAATAAATAAATGGGACCTGATGAAACTTAAAAGTTTTTGCCAAGCAAAGGAAATGATAAACAGGACGAAAAGACAACCCTCAGAATGGGAGAAAATATTTGCAAATGAATCAATTGGACAAAGGATTAATCTCCAAAATATATAAACAGCACAGGCAGCTCAATATTAAAAAAACAAACAACCCAATCAAAAAATGCGCAGAAGACCTAAATAGACATTTCTCCAAAGAAGACATACAGATGGCCAAGAGGCACATGAAAAGCTGCTCAACATCACTAATTTTTAGAGAAATGCAAATCAAAGGTACAATGAGGTATCACCTCACACCAGTTAGAATGGGCATCATCAGAAAATCTACAAACAATAAATGTTGGAGAGGGTGTGAAGAAAAGGGAACCCTCTTGCACTGTTGGTGGGAATGTAAACTGATACAGCCACTATGGAGAACAGTATGGAGGTTCCTTAGAAAACTAAAAATAGAATTACCATATGACCCAGCAATCCCACTACTGGGCATATACCCAGAGAAAACCATAATTCAGAAAGACACATGCACCCCAATGCATGCAGCACTATTTACAATAGCCAGGTCATGAAAGCAACCTAAATGCCCATTGACAGACGAATGGGTAAAGAAGATGTGGTACATATATACAATGGAATATTACTCAGCCATAGAAAGGAACGAAATTGGGTCATTTGTAGAGACGTGGATGGACCTAGAGACTGTCATACAGAGTGAAGGAAGCCAGAAAGAGAAAGACAAATATCATATATTATCACATATATGTGGAATCTAGAAAAATGGTATAGATGAACCGGTTTGCAAGGCAGAAACAGAGACACAGATATAGAGAACAAACGTATGGACACCAAGGGGGGAAAGCGGGGAGAGGGGTGGTGGTGGTGTGATGAACTGGGAGATTGGGATTGACATGTATACACTGATGTGTATAAAATGGATGACTAATAAGAACCTGCTGTATAAAACAATAAATAAAATAAACAAACAAAAAAGAAATCTAAGTATGATGGGGGACTAATGCAGGACTGGAGCAGGAAAGGATTGGCAAAGTGTAAAACAAAGATGGAGGTCGATCCTGCAGCCACCACCAGGATTACTTCTGGATTACTTCTCCCTGGACTGCAACACAGTTAAAAAATATACTAGGAATTTGAGAAGACAGGGCATAATTCCTAGATTTCATTCTTGTGCCTGACAGTTCTGAAAGAGTACTATCAAAGCAATTACGCTGCCAGCATGGGGTAGCGAGAGCCATTTTCAAATCCATTTGCACTCGCCTTACTCTCCTCAGGGATGCTCAGAGGGCAGAAATGATTTCTTCCACTCTTATTTTCAGAGTTTTCTATATGATGATGAGTAAGGGCTCATCCCTCCCAAGCTTAGTTATCATCCCATTTATACAACTGGAAAAATGTGGACAGCGGGAATATTAAAAATCCTATCTGCATTTACTATCTAATTTCCTATGAATAACCTTTCAGATTTGGCTGAAAAGTCGAGCACAACAAGCGTCACATCTGGTGGATGCAGTACATCGACTTACCAACCCTCTCAGCGTGCAGGCTTTACTGCCAAACACCAGAGCCCTGCAGCAGGAGCAACGGAAAGAACTATGTTCCATTGTTTTATAAACTCATTGTGCAGGAAAAATGACAATTAGGCTGGCTCTGTTCTCATCATCTGTGACGGCACCGGGCTGGTGATTCAAAGATAATGGCACCTTTGAAGTGGATTTTTATGGTGATGCAAAGATTATAATTTTTAAAAGAAAGTTATATTATGCTACTAGATCATTTTTTATATTTGGATAATGGTATATTTCATCCCTTCCACTCTCATTTGGAAGTCAATGCAGTGTAAATAACTGCACAGTATTTACTTACTATTATCATCCAGCCCACAGAAGCAAAGATGATTAGAGTCAATTTTGTCATTTTTGAGTTAACGAGGTACGGGGGAATTTTAGTGTTTCTGATAAGTGTCAAACAAACAAAGAATACCAAATATGAACCTATCTGTTTGAATTCACTACTTTCTGTGTACTGTACAAAAGTTGAAGACGTACCCAATATAGTTTACAATACAAACTGTAGAGAGGCAACCTGGTTAAATCCAACAGGGGTATATTTTTAAGTACTCAGTGTCACCTGACTGCATTATAAGGTTGTCTTTCCCTCTCTACATTATAAGATTTGTCTCAGTGGTTAAATTTGTTTTCATGTCTTGGTATATTATATTAATGTAAACTAGAAATATCCAAATGTTCTATTCAAGTAATATTTTCAAAGACTACTTAAAGGGGCCTTGCCACTGACCCACTTGAAGGGTGGGAATAGGAAGAGATTATTTCTTCACACTTAAAAAATACAATCAACTGTTGAACACAGGAATGGTATCATATGCCCCTAAAGACAATACAAAGAGAATGAAACGACATCATTTCTAGGAAACTTTGTGTTGATCTCATGAGGCCAGTTCAAAATGTACTAAATGTCACCATGGCACAGAAAATCTTTTGCTAAAATTGTTTTGGGCAATTATATATTACTTTTCAAAGTTGTTATGAAATTCCTTCTCTATTAACCCAGAGACAATTATAATATTACTTGACCATAGGAATGAGATGACATAAATGCTGACTGGATTTCCTGACAGAAGCAATACTGCTTTATCATTTTTGTATTAACTTCTGGCTATAGGAGCCATTTGCTGCACTGTTACTTCTATTTGCCGATTATCTGATACTGGACTA